GAATCAGAGCCTTTTTTTCATCTAAATGATAAAGTGGATTTTTTTTTTTTTTCTGTTGTTTTAAAAAATTCCATTCTATTTTTTCTGAAGATGCTTTTGAAAAATAAACTTCATTGATTCATTCAGATAATGAGACAGTATATGCACCATCAACTCCTTTCTCCGTAGTTTCCATTTATACTTGTTATAACAATATTTTTCATATTATTGAAAGTTTATTTTTGGCAAGTTATATCTATTATCCCATTTATTTATCCACAGATATAACCTTATAGTTACAATTAATTCACTATGAACTGATCTAGAAGTATTATCAGATAATTCATTAAGTATAATAACTACTATATTAATTCCTAGTTGATGGGTTACACCAATAACTAGGATAACAGCCTTACTCCTTTGATACTAGCACCTTGTATATGTGGTTGAATACAATGTAGAGACATTGACGTATGCAATGGGTGCTCATAGTCGATGACTTCACCGAACTCCCTCATTCTACAATCTCTAAGTGGTTCTCAATAATCGAGTAGATGTTCGATGATTATAGTTGTACACCGTTAGTCCTTAGTGTTGAGATAGTAGACTAAAATATTATTGAACTAATACAATAGTATATTTATCATTTCATCAGAATATGCACTAGAGCATTCAATTCATTTAATAAGATATTGATTATTGTCAATTAATTAAATGTACAATTCCAATATTCTAATAGTATTCGAAATAGTGTACTACAGCGCACATAAAGATTATTCCGAAAGTTCGTTTAGGATATACAGATAATCGTTCACAATCTAGATGAAATTGGACTAACCATCGGTAAAAGATGTAGCACAATAGTTGAGTGATTGGTCTTGATCACGACAAACATAGAATAACTTTTGTAGTTATTGTTTTAACCTATTGTGCTAGGACACCTGACATATGTTGAACCGGACAAAGTGAAATAATTGTTTCATCGCTCTTTAAAATAAAACTATATTATTTATAGTTGACAATAAGTTACTTACTCTCTTAATCCCTAGATAATTAACCTACACATTTAATTAGTGATCTCTTCTTCGATTCACAATGTGAGAGATTCCTATATTGAGTCAAATGAACCCCAGTGCGTTGGATAGAGAAGGTAAGAATTAATAGGTAAAAAATAATTATCGAAAGGTAATCTACATCTCTGAAATATGAGATTGATAATAATCCTTGAATGCTTATAAGTTTTGTCTATGTCCTGACCAGGTGGATGTCGTATCCGACATACTCAAATAAGTTAACCCTGTAAGATTTATGAAAAGAAACCATTTAATTTATTTAGCAGTGAATAAATTATTTGGTGGTTATATGATATCTTAATGTGGGGAAAATTGAAGTAATGATCGACCGAAATTCGAATATAATATTTGAGAATATAAAAAGTGTCAACAATTATTTGATAGTGGAAAATAAATAATTTGTTTAATGATTAATTAAATAATTCTTTTAGAGTTTGATTTTAATTAATTATTAGTTGCCCGGGTTATATTTACTCCTTTAGTCCACATTGTAGCCTAATAAATTGTCTAATTAATCGAGAAAATAAAGTTCAACATAAATTATATATTAGAACTATTATAGTCGAAAATTAAATCCCCTTGGACTGCAATTTTCGACTATATAGAGTTATAGAAGGAGTGGGATGTGCTTCCAAGTAATTTTTCCACATTTCATTCTAATTGGTTGTGCTATATTATACGTGATAGAGATTAGGTTGAGGAGAGATGGACTTGGTTCCACCCTTCTATTTCACGTTGGGGATAAAAATATTTTCCTCTTCATCTTTTCTCTCTCAATTTTTCAATTATAGATTTACAATTCTCAAAAACAAGCCCCCATTGTCGAAGAATTATTAATACGGGATATACAAGAGAAGATTGAGGGTTCTTGTAAGCTTAAATTTATTCCCTAAATTTCATAGCAGTCCCGCGATAAATCCACCGATCATCCTCGTTCGTGCACCAAAGCTGAAAACACAAAAAGAGACACAAAAGGATTTTCGAAACCCATATGAAAGTTATAGATTAGATTTGATTCCTTCAAGAGAATCTAATCCGCGTGATTATGCTTAATAACTAAAAACCAGCTAAAAATTGAATCTCGTTAAATTAATCTATGGCTCCTGATACTCATGATCCTAACACTTAGGACTTAATACATCGCTGCGACTTCACTAAAGGACCAACTATGTTGTGACATGGCCCTGAATCTCATTGAAGACCGCTCCAAAAGCCAAGGTTACACTTTAAAATTTAGTGGGAGTATGTGTATTGTTGTTAGGGATTTGACCCCTTGCTTTATTGTATGGATGTCTCGTGTGTTCTCTCAGTGTAAAGACCAAGAAATCTTCGGACGAAGTGGAAAGTAAGGTGTTTAGAAAAAAAATTGGGTTCTCTGAATCACACACGAAAATATTATATAGCTTTAGAACGTTCAAACAGTTATCGAACAATATTAGAGGTCTCGGTGAGATAGGTTTGTCAAACGGGAATCATGACACATAGTTTCTAGATGGCAATCATGATTTGTTGCCCATTAACCGGTATAATCGGCGATTGAGATTAAAATATGTTTTGATCAAAAATCAGGACCACTGGGACAAATTTGTAATCGAATAAAGAGTTATTTGAGTCACAAAGAGATGTGGGCCCACGGCTAGTTTACAATTGAATCATTGAAATGATTCCTTAATATGGTGAACAAAGATTAATTAGTTAATCTTATTTAGATCGGAGTTCAGCATGATTGAATCCGTAGATCGTAATAGTCGATTACGAATTAGAACGAAATGATGAAACTAAGTTATTAGAGTTGAAGTGAGCTTTCTAAATTTGTAATTTTCCAATAGAAGATGCCCTGAAAGTAGAAGTTTCCTAAAGTGGAAAATTAAAAAAGTGCGATATGATACTTTAATTGACGAGGACATTATAATCACCATGAATATGTAATTATAACATTTTTCTAAAGGGTTTATTGTGAATAAGTCTCTGACCAACCATCTTTATTATTCTAAGTTGCGAGGTTATATCTCTTTCGCCAATAAGCTCATCCCGTCGATATGAATTATAAATAAAGAAAAAATAATGTATATGACAAATTTACCCCCAACCCTTTAAACCCAATTCCTAATTGTAACCCCAATTTAACTCCAATTTAATCAATTTTGACCACAAAAATTCAATTTTGACTTTTTATTTTTTAAAATTTTTGTTTTGAACTTTTTTTTTGCCGCTGATTTCCGGCGTTGACTTTTTTTATAATTTTTTTGTGCTTTTTCCGCCGTTGGTTTCCAGCGTTGACTTTTAATTTATTTATTATTTATTTTATTTCCCTAAAAAAATTATACTATGTTTTTTACGCCCGACGTTGAACATTGACCGTAATTGTACTGTCACTAACAATAATTATACTGTCGCTGACATTAATTGTATTGTCATTGACAGTACATTTACGTAATTGTACTGTCAATGATAGTACAATTATTGTCAAGCACAACAATATTATTTTTTTGTCTTTTTTTTTTTTTTTTTTTTTTGATTTTTTGACAAGTCAACGTAATTATATTACTGTCAACCACATCAATATTATTTTTTTGGCATTTTTGTTTTGTTTGATTTGTTGACCAATTAACGTAAGAATAGTACTGTCTACTATTGTAATATTACTATAAACACAATAATATTATTGTGGTTGACGGTAATACTACTGCCGTTACAGTAATATTACTGTGGATAATAGTAATATTATTGTCATCCACATCAATATTAATTTTTTTGACTTTTTATTGTTTGCCTTTGTTGAACGATCAACGTATTAATATTACTATATTACACAATAATAGTGATATTTGTTGTGTTAATATTACTATGGTAGAGAGTCATATAGCAATATTATTGTCTTAAATTGTAGTATAGTTAATATTATTGAGTTAAACATTAATATTACTGTGTTAAATTGTAATATAGCAATATACTTTTATCTATCCCAAGCCTCTTATTAATAGAGATTTTTTTGACTTGTAGGTAAAGACTACTACTTGACCTAGAAGTCAAAACTCAAGCCCATGTGCAAACTAGCCGTGAGCCAACAACTCTTTGTGATTCGAATAACTCTTTATTTGATTACAGACGTGTCCCAAGTTTCCCTTAAATTAAAATATATTTTGATCTTTATCACCGATCATATCGGTTAATCCCTAAACGAATCATAATTGACATCCAACAAGTAGTTATCATGATTCTTTAGATACAAATGAAGTGTGTGCAAGAACTTTTAATTATACTTAACGTACAATACGATCCATTCGACAAAACATATGTCTCGCTCGAACTAGAGTCATTGGTTCACCGAGACCTCTAATATTATTCGATAGTTGTGCGAACGTCTAGAGCTATGAAATCCATTCGCGTGTGAATTTGAGAAACCCTCTAATCACCAATACTTTTACTTTGGCCTAAGATTCCTTAGACGATATACTGGAAGAACACACACGACATTCATGCAATTAAGCAAGCGGTCAAATCCCTACCAACAATATACATACTCCCACTAAAACTCGGATTGTGCGAATATTGGCTCTTTGAGCGGCCTTCGAGGAGACTTAGTAACATGTCACTACAAAACTGGTCCTGTAATGAAGTCGCAGTGATGTAATAGGTCCTAAGGACTAATGGTGTACAACTATAATCATAAATCATCTACTCGATTATTGAAAACCACTTGGAAATTCTAGGACGAGGGGTTCAATGAACTCATAGAACATTGTAGACTCAACTCACATGCACTACGTGCTAGTCTCAACCGTGAAAGGTCATTATCCTAATTATTGGCATAACCCATCGACTATGAACTAATTTAATAGTTATTACACTTAATTTATTATCTCATGATTCTCCTAGATCAATTCATATTATTTGAATATAATTTTAAGGTCTACATCTATGCATAAATATATGAGACAATAAATATAGCTTGTGAAAAATAAATTTTCATTAAGTACGAAATAGATTGTATACAAGTAAAATGGAAAGACAACATCCACAAGTTGGTTTGTTGGTAGCTTACTCTAACAATAAAAACAATTTACTTATTCATATAATGAAGCAGAGCAGACTATTCACAATTTATGAATCCTACAATTACTTGTAGTAATTGTTTATTGATATCAAACTTTCAAACTCATTAATTATTACTTAGCTTATTGAAGAATAATATATCTTTATCTAGCTTATAATATTTCCATAGATATTAACAGCCCTTCTGATGAAGATGGATTGGAACAATCACAAACATTGAACTTAATAAGTCCATTCCTGCGGTAGTTGCATGTCGTCGATGTGTGAATGTCCGTTTCGCGGTCCACTTGATATCGTCGATTCACCTTTTACTGCACATGGAGGAGATGTTTTAATACTAATTTTTATTTTATTTTTACAAATAGTATAAACTTCAAGAATTGATGTTTTAATACAAATATTGTTTGGAGTCAACTCATATGAAACATTCCAAGAAAAAAATGATTTCTTTTTGTTTATTTTAAGGTAGGGACCAATTTAGAGATGAAGGTTACAAGATTCATCATATCGTAAGTATCTAGTACTACTAGTGTTGAAAAGTAGAATCGGTTGTAGGAAAACGAAAAGATACCTGCGCGGCCAGAGTAATTGAAAGGTCGACCGGTTAGTAGTGGTGGTGGGGTTGTGGAATCTTTAAACCGGTTATAGTGTAGCTCCATTGCTTGCAATACTCTTGTGGGCATCAGAACCATTGAACAACCTAATCAACGCACCCAAATCATTAGCCACTCTATTTAAATTTAACCATAATAATGTATTTTATCATTATGTTACAAATTACTGAAAAATAATTAGCTTATTAAAAATTATGATATGTATTTCATCATATAACAATTATAGTAAGAAATAAATAACAAAGAAGGCGGTCAATAGTTCCATTAAAATAAGAAATATTTAAAAAAAAAATTAACAGAAAAAAAAACTAAAAATATTACAAAATAGAGGAAACAAAAACAAAAGATAGTACAAAAATATCATTAAAGTTGCTTAGGATTTCTCTATCGTTAATTCTTGTTATATATAAGTTTTGGTAACTTCGACACTAGAAGAAATAATTTCCACTTCAAATTAAAATATTCTATGTTTTTTTTTAAATTTAATACTTGTATTTAAATAGAACTACACAATAGACGGTTGTGGAAAACTCTTATGTAATTCTTTTCTTGTCTAAAATAAAATCATTAACTAAACTTAAATTTTAATTTCTATAGATTAAATTGTGAATTATCTTGGGGAAAATAGTAAGGTATTATTGTATGGTTGTCATTAATTGGTTTTCACCGTGTCCAAACTATGTGTAGAAAGTGAGATGCCACCAAACAAGATTCCAAGCTACGGCTATTGGTTGATGCATATCCCAATAAAGCAAATACATTAAATATGATAAGTAACATCAAAGAAGTAGATTCAAAATTGACAACAAGCAACATGGAATCTCGACAATTTAAAATATCAAGATTCCAAAATCGCTTTCGTCAATAATACCTTACACTCCAAAAATTATAAAAAGTCTTTGATCCCAAACAAAAATTTAAATTAAATTTAGTTCTCATGTCACTTTTTGATTTTGACTTCATTTGGATTTAACTATTTCAAGCCAATTATTTTCAAGTCTATTAATTTATTAATAAGAATCCTTTTTTTTTTTAATGAATTTTAAGTTTCAAAATAAGCTCATCTTTTATTATTGAGTTGGTGTGGTTTACGTTTTTCGTATGGTTCGCAAGCTATATTATACGAGAAGTGTAAGTTTACCCAGTGCACTTATATGGTTGGTTGCATATTTCTTCATTACCAAACAAAAAAAAAATTAATCTACTGATTATTATTTGGATAAATTATTGAACTTCAATTTCAAATTCAATTTTTAGTTATTTTTGGAATCATTGTAATGGAAAAAAATAGTAGCTAATAGGAAATTATTTTTGTTCCTAAATCTATTACACTTTCACAATCAAAATATCCTAATCCCAAATTACATCAACACCTATTGAAATGGTAGAGTGTCACTTTCTATTCAAATAGGGGCAACCAATGAAATATGAAATTTAACATTAATTAAATGAAAAAACCCTGGATACTCTATAATAATAGTTCTATAGTAGTATCTTCTTTGAATCTCACCCAAATGATTATTTTTATGAGTTATTCATATTATTATATAAATATCTGCACATATGTTTATTTTATAAAATACTTGTTAATTAATGTGATAAAATTTAAATAATCATGAACTTGGCCTTATTAGATAATAAAAATAAGTCACGTTAGATCGAACCAGAGATCGTATTTGATTTTTATTTAGTTAATTAAATAACATTTTGGACGGCTACATAATACTAAGAACGGTAAAAAACAATCACTCATGAGGTAAGATTGATTTACGAAAAAACATACCCTTACGATTTGTAGATTTTTTAGATTGGCATGACACCTTTCTGTAGGGAGATTGGATGTAAGATATTTACAAATTGCAAGGGGTTGGATGTAATTTCCCAAACAATTGAATTGTTTTGTTATTACTGTTTATTTCAGGGAGTTTGTTGTAATTTATCTTAAAAAACAGAAAAAGAAAAAACAAAAGACAGTCCGAACTTCATGGGGGCAAAGTTGTGGTACCTGATTTCTTCTTGGGTTCAGTGGAGTCACGGGGCAAAAAAACTCCGGTTCCTGAAGATCCAGATACGGACCCGGATCCACCAAGAAAAACAGCCTGCATACCCGACCCGAATTGCCCGTTTCTGCCATGTCCAACTCCCACCCATCCTTTGCCTCTATATTGCATAAAATGCTGCTCTGTTTTCTCAACTTGTTGTTTCTGCTGAGCTGACTCAGTTCCTTTGACTCGTCTACTCCTATAAACAGTGCCCTCTTTCGTAATTGGCGCCTGATTCTTCAACTCATAAACCTACAATACAAAATTGATTAACAAGAAAACACTAAATTAAATTTAAATCAATATATTCTTGAAAATATCTACATAATTAATACTTACATCCGAATTCTCAGAAATATAATTGGCAATAGTGTTTTCTTTTACTTGTTCTTCTTCTTCTTCTTCATCTTGAAGCATACACTCAGCCATCTGGCGACTCAACTCGGCAACGAAATCTCCGTCGTCGCTTGAATCGGAATACAAGGGCGTGCTGAAGCCCGAAGAAGACGAGTCACTATAGGACAACTGATTTGAGCTCGAACTCGAACTCGAACTTAAACCTTGCAGCGGCTTAGATGTTATCATGTTCGCTTCTTCTTTTTGCACCACCGTATTTACGTTGCCGACGCGTTTAAATAAATCAGCATAGAGCAAAGGTTTCCTCTCATGATGACACTCAAAAGACATATTGTGAACTAATTACTTCTTTTTCGAAATGAATTTGGTAAGAGTGGAAGGGATTATTAATAAGAATGATTAATGTGTGAAGAATGGGTTGAGGTGGAGTGGTGGTGGTGGTGGTGGTGGTGGTGGTTAACAAAATTATGAGAGAGAGAGAGAGAGAGAGAGAGATTTAATTTGAATAAGGTGGTCACGTTGTGTTGTGGTGTGGTGTAATGAAAAGTATTGGTGTTGGTATATAAGTTTAAGGGTAAATTACAAACACCTCCCCTGAGGTATGGTCAAATTACAAAAACACCCCTCTTGTTTGGATAATTACAAGTACCCCTCAACTCCTCAAATTTAGTGGAATCTTCGAGATTATATGGAATATTATCACTTTTGTACCCGTTTTATCCCATTCGAACTCTACATTATGAAGCAAGATGATCATAATTTGTGTTTTTTAGCTTGTATATATCAGTTTGTGGTGCATCGAAAACTGTATTTTTACACAAAACGAGTACAAACTAGAGCACATTCCACGGAATCTAGATGATTATGTTGAATTTGGTACCATAAGAGTGGGGTGTAAGAAAAAATCATAGCTGAGGGGGGTATATGTAATTATCCAAACAAGAGGGGTTTTTTGTAATTTGATCATACCTCAGGGAGTGTTTGTAATTTACCCTAAGTTTAATTTGTGGGGTTGTTGGATTTTAGTGGTTGGCCCGTACGTTTGTCTACCCAAAACTATAAGCTTTTTAGCTCAACTGCCAACTGTTGTAAACTGATTTTTTTTTTTTTTTTTTTTTTTTTTTAATTGGTGAATTTAAAAATTAAATAGATGGGGAGTGGTTTAATTGCAGTTCAACTGTTCAATTCATCTCTCTATGTAACATTGCTGCAATTGGTTATGATATGGGTTTGTTTGCGGTTCTGACAAAAATTGGTGGGTTGACCAAATTATTATTGCCCAAATTCCCTTCGAGCACTAATCCACTTGATTTGACGACCACAGAATATTCTTGTACGTGTTGGTGTTAAAGGCACATCATGCTACTTGATATATCATGCGACTTTAGTTAACTGATGTTGGTATCAATATAAAAATATGCGTAAATAATTAAAATAAGAATTACACTTAGTTGTAAGTAGAAATTAATCGGACATACGAAGAACGACGAATCGACTGGACCTTGTAAAAGCAATGTTCTTGAGACAATATTTCCGGGTTGTCTTTGGTGCAACAGTCACTCTTGGTAGTCTATATTTACTCACATTGGAAGTTCACGGCGAACTAAAAACGTAGAAACGAAGTTTCGACGGAAGAGTTTTAGAAAGAAATTCTTAAACCTCTTATTGTATCTTATGCAAAACTGATCAGATTTTGTCTTATAGATATTAAAGGGTCTTTTCCTAATGGATATGTTGTTTTGAAACAGTCACTTTACCAATAAATATGTTGTTTATATATGGAGAAATTAATTTAATCCAAACAAACATCTATTCATAATTCCCTAACAATTTTTATTCAAATAAAAAATCAAACAATTCTCTACATGAATAAAATTGCTCTTCAAAACTCATCTAATGAGATCATACTATCAAAATTTCTTTTAGGAATAGTACAACATCGGAATAGGTCATCGGAATAGGTGAAATATTTCATCGTGAACCTTCCCTAGTTAAAGTTTACCGGATTGACTTAGTCAATCAGTGAATTATTTCATCATGAGCTGTCGGTTGTTTGTGTAAACCAAGACAATAAACTTAACACTGTACCAAAAACACGTGTTTCAAGTTCTCGGTTGTGTTCATTTTGACCCTGAATATTCTCGGGTACTGCGAGTGCTTTAGAGAATTTAAGCCTTTATAAGAATTCTCAACGAGCCGACCCAACTCACTCTAACATAGGTGACCGCATCTATAAAGCGTACTCTACTATACATCACTTGTACTTGACACGATATAGACGTCATTAAAAGAAATAGCTAAACACTTTAAACGTCGTATGTTGCATTTAATGCATCATAGAAACAACATGGAATTAGACTCCAAAGTGCTATATTTATTTAAGTTATACATAATTAATTGTTCTATTGAACTTGGTCCGTGGGATCTCTAGTCGCCAAGTTAGGTTTCCGTATAAGGTAACTTAGTCATTTAGTCTTTAAACATATTCCCCTCAATGAACATTCAACTCTCTCACTAAATAAACTTTCCGTAAGTGGATATGCTAGGTTATCATTGAATTTCACGAAATCAATAGAAATTATCTCATTAGAGAGTAAGTGTTTCACGGTATTATATCTACGACTAATATGTCGAGACTTACCATTGTTAAATTATGAGTGTTACGTATTGTTTCACGATATTTATTTATTAAAAAAATTAATAATAAATTATTAATTTTACTAACTATTTTTTTGGTATTTTTTAGTTTTTTTTTATAATCAACTATTCCCCATAATCAAATACAAAATTACTAAAATTTACTTTTTTATTGAAATCAACTATTTTTTTTCGTACCCAGAATCAACTATAAAAAATAGTAAAACAACTATAAAAAAAACTTATTTTCAATAGTATGTTTACCAAAAATGTAATAATTACAAATCAACAAAAATCAACTATAAAAAATCAAAATTAATTATAAAATTCTTGAAATGAACTATAAAATGGTCGAAATCAACTAATAAAATTATCCAAAACAGCTACATTATCATAAATCAACTACAAAACTAAAAACCCCAATTTCAAGAAAATTACTAAAAAATTGAGCGGATTCAACAACAAAAACATCATCTTCCACAATCAATGAATGGAGGGCGGCGATTTAAGGCGGCATATGAAGAATGATGCCAAGAATAGAAACACCATATACCGCAATCCACGGCACATGTGACGATTATGACTGCGGATGAAAGACGAGGCCACGTAGGACACCGGTCGGGAACCCACCCTCTCTAATTACACAAATTCAAATATCCTCTGACGATTCCAGATTCAAAATCAACAATTAAGTTTCAAGAAGAAAAAACAGATAAAAACAAAAGGCCTCTATCCCAACCACTTACGTTTCCATTCTTGTTTAGAGGATGGTAATTAAAAATGGAATTCCAAACCTTGTGGCTTCTGCCATCATTTTCAAACCCTCTTCATTCACTGTAATTGAACAAGATCCGCCATTGCTACAATAATCAGTAAAACCATCGCCATTGATGTAAACCCCAGCGGAAAAGTTGTGATTTTCGGCGCTCACGCAAAATCATACGACAACGGTTCAGAGGAGTGCGGCACTGAACATGGATCAAACTCTTCCCCTTCTCCACTTCGACTTAACATAGATGTACTTACACTGTGTTTCCTTCAAATCCGAAATGTGGATTTTCACTAATCATCCCTTAAATTAAGCACAAATAATTTAAACAAATATATTTTCCCATATGTTAACGTATTATACTTTAATATCTTATTTTATTTTCCATGAAATATTTAATTACATAAAATTAATTCTCCCAAATATTTTGAAAATTATTTCACGCCAATTTTTGTTGACATAGTAGTTTGAAACCCAAACTACACAGTATAATAAATAAATGATTTGGTTAAACTCACAGTCTAAACCGTACCCTTTACACATATTTGGATCAAAACATCCTTTAGGAGAACAAACTCGAATATTTGAAAAGTGTAAACACATATTTGAAAAGGAATTTAGCCTTTTGTGAACAAACTCTTGTCCTAATTATAATCCCAATAAATGTAACAGAAATACATCAACGTAACACAAATGAGAAAGTGACTGTGTTCATAGAAATGTTTAAATATAACTATTTAAACAAATATATCAAATATTTTTAAATTCTAGTAAAACAGAAAAGATGTAATCTACACATCACACCTTTACGCAAAGGGCATAAACAGATTTATGCAAACCATTTTTATTTTTAAGAAATTATTTTCGTAGATTAACACAAGAGTTAATAAATTATTTAACTTAAACGAATAGTTAGCAATGAATTTTGTTTTTAATCAGTTACATAGAATTATTGTGCAGGCTTTTGAAATCAGCCACTAACACTGTGGAATTTCTTGTCTGCAGATATTAACATGCAACTTTACGCAATACAATGATTATGGGTAAATAGCATAAAAAAAACCCAATGTATTATGACAAACCTGCAATAAATCTCCTTGTGTTCTTTTTATTGCATATAACAATCATCTCCATTTTCGTTATTAGTTAACACCTTTAACTATAAAGGGGATTTTATGCAAGCTTTTTATAATATAGAAGGGTACTGGTGCATGGTTTAGTAACACAAGAGGAGTCTATGCAAAATTAATTTATTCATTTAAAATTAAAATTATTTTCTTAAATTAAGCCAAATACATCTATTAATTTAAATTATGAAAACTAAAAAATAATATTCGAGATGGAAGTTGGAACGAATTCTCAAATTATTTATGTTCTTTTCACATATAATTAATCCAGTATAAATTATAAAAATGAATAATAACTCTATTAAATAATTATATATTTTTTTTAAATCACATTTTTAAATACATTAATAAATTATACCATATCAAAATTGATTTTTTTTTAAACATTCACCACACCTATTAAATTTCTATTTTTCATATTGTGACTGAATAAACGTGTTCGAATTAATTTAAGAAAATAAGATGAAATTTAAACGAATAATTTAAATTTGCTTACAATCCCCCTGTATTTGAGATAATATGTACTAAATCCCCCTATGTTATGAAAAAAATGCAGAAAATCCCCTCTATAGTTAACGTCATTAACTTGTAACGGAAATAGGGATTTCGTGCGAAATAAAATGAAACACAAGGAGGTTTTACGCAAGGAAAAAAAAAACACGGGGTGGGATTTTCCTTAACACATGTTTTTTTGTGCCGTTTACCCCAATGATAATAACTCACAGATGTATTAAATAATTCATAAATATATCTCCCCATATATGAATCGTAAATATAAAACAAAACTTTTGTTTGCAAAAACGTTTCAGAGAAACAAAGCATTGACGCAGATATTAGAACATAGAAACTAATATTATTCATCTCTACGAATAAACACTTTTAAACCCAATAACTTATTTGGAAACTTTTAATCCAGAAAGATAATCACTCAGATTATAAAAAACAGAAGACTTTT